GCACTATGCTACACTATTTTCTGTGAATGTATTATTTCTTTTTGCTGAGTTTTTCCTTTAAATGAATGTGCGTTTGTGTCTTGATCTAGTTATTGTCTGGCAAAATGCAGCTATATGAACTGCATGACCCAGAGTGTTTTGTAGTGTGAAGCAAGCAGAGTGTGAAGATGTTGGATGTGTTATGGCGTGCATGTAAAGCATTTCCGTTCATTTCCTATGCATTCGCATGCAACAAAACAAGCTCCATCTGTCCATCTCTATCTGTTTCCCTCCCTAACCCAACGTCTTTTATCTCGAGTCAACAAAGCCTCACTTCATTGTCCAAACAGTCAAAGCCTGCATTCATGTAGCCATTTATCAAGGAAACAATTCATTTGGTTTCATTCCGTTTTTAACACATTAGTCATCTGCTACTTCCTATTGGTTTTTATTAACCAATGAAAGCTTTTTAAAAAAAATATTTTCTCTGTTTTCATTGATTTGATATCAGATGTATGTCAAGATGCTTAAAAGAAAAAAAACGTCCTCTTAATACAAAATATGAAAACCAAACATGGTGCAGCTACACAGAAACTACTCTGCAGCTAACAAAGGCGTATGTGACCATTATGTGGACATAGGCAGGGTAAATACGCAGAACAAGGGGAACATTTATTAAATGGGTGGTATAAAAGGTGTCTTGTTCTATTTGACTGGGATATTTCTCTCCTAGGTTGCAATGGAAAAAATAAAAATCATATGACTCATGTTTAATTACTTCTTTGGCTTAATCTCCTCTTTATTGGATCCATGCAATTTGGTTTGCAAAACAAAACAAAAAAAATTATGCCTGTTTAATAAAATATATAAAGATAGAAACAATGCAACTTTTTTAACACACTGAATAAAAAAATTTATAGAAAGTCACTTCATCACAACTTAAAACTGGGTACTACTAAGCATGCCTCTTTTCATTGTTTTATTTTATTTTAAAAAGATCCTCTAACACTTTTAATCAGCTTTAAAAGATTTTAAGAAAATCCTTAAATTTTTTCTAACAAAAATGATCTTTCACTGTGTTGCTTATGTCAAGTACGGAAAAGACATTCTATTCCGGGTCGCCCTTCCTATCTTTGCAAAGAAAGGAATGCAGTTTGTCAACTTTGAAACTTTATCCCTTCACTGCTTTCAGTGTACTTATTCACTATGCGAATAATCCAAACAGGATTAATTGAAAAGAAAAGAAAAAATGTGATTAAGGGCAAAATTCTGTAATAATATAAAGCTTTTCTTTTCATCTTAACCAACAATCAATGAAGTCAAGTGCTGACAGGACTAAAACTCAAACTTGCCAACAACACAACTTATTACAGAATGTTATTTTTAGACTAATAAAAAAAAAAAAAAAAAAGGAGTCGAACTAATTCACACTTAAAGTAAGAACACAACTTTATAAGCAAAAATGTTCAGAAATACAGATGAGCGAAACTTCTGTTGGGATTGACTTTTTAAAAATGTTTCTTTAGCCTTTATCTAACAAGGAAAATCAAGTTGAGATTAAAAATATAATTTTAAAGCTTGGGGCAGAGCCCAAGAACATTAACTATGATGTGTATGTAAAAGTCACAGATGCTCTTGTTTGTTCCTATTGGATTTCTAAAATTATTACATCATACTTAAGGCCAATCAATTTCATGATGTATTTTCCAATCACTTACAGCATCAAAACAGCTAAGCAATCTAGGTCACTGTAGTCAATGACTAACATGTGTTTAAATACACCAAGATAAAAGTTAAAGATTAACTTTTTTAGAAACAATGCTTGAAAAAACAGCAAAATTAGCACCCACTTTACTCGCTAAACTCCAAAACAATTACTCCTCTTGTTATATTTACAATCAAGGTCAGGATCCATGTATAAAAAATAGCAGAGAGTACCTTACTACAATAATACATCTGATTTTGGATACAACATTGCCTTTTCACAACTTCTGAACTTTTTTAATTTTGTCTTAAAGGTATTTTAGTGGGCTTAATGTAATAGATCAACAAGGAGTAGTGCAGTAACTGAAATAATATCTTATAATCAATTGTTATGAATAAAAAAATTAAATAAAAAAAATTATTATCTATTTTTATAACAAGACTGAGATAACACTAAAGAAATTACTTCTGCAGCAATAACACCTTCAAGTCTCTAGCAGGTTTGCCCACAAATAAGACAGAGTATACCTGCAAAGGTATGATGTCATTTGGGCTGCCCATCCACATGGCTCTGACAGTAAAAAAAAAACTATTCTGGCAACCAGGTTCAAGAGTGGGACAATTTCAATTTCAAAACGGCAGTTCTGAGTTCTGTGAAATTGTTTATTTCTATCTGAGATAATGGCAGAAATAAACAATTTGTCTGAGATTTTTGTCGGACCAAGCCACGCTATGTACCACTCTTACTTAATAGTACAAAGTTAACTTTAATCAAACCTGGTGGTCTAAGATTATTCATTGAGAGCTCCTGTGTAACTCCCTCCTTTGAGCTTGAGACGGTTTTGTCATCTTGGACAATCCATCCTCTCCTTCACTTTCCACATCCAAAAGATAACCTGGCCAACATGCCTTCATCTCTGCAGCGTCAAACAATTTCTTCCATCACACTTTTGTCAAACTGGTTCATCGTGCACTTACCTCTGCATTTGACATTTTCAACTCCCTTCCCTCTCTGGCCCCAATATAAACTCCATGAATTGCAACTAGTACAAAAGGCAGAAGCTTGCATCATTTACTTCCCACTTTACACCTGTAAAGCTTCACTTGCTCCTCATGTCCTTTTGTCAATTTCTATCGTCCATACATAAGCGAAGGCAAGGTTACTTCCTCACTTTAGGTCACAGTTAGAAAACTGACCCACTAAGACTTGCCTTCTATCTAAAAGTTGGCAAATATTGATATTCATTTTATGGTAACTTTATTTAGTCATTATTTGCTGTTATATATCTTTTAATTTTATTTAGTATGATGTTTATTGATATGATGATCTTGAAAGGTTCTTATAAATAACCTGTATTATTACAATAAAAGGTGAACACACACAAGATACACAGCTGAAATACTTAAGACAGGAAAATTATTTAAAATTTATTTTTCTCTTTCCTATGTTCAAAATGAAAATTTCTTTCCAGATGTTTGCTAGTTTGACAGGTTATATTTTATGATGCAAATGAAATAATATCAATATTTTTCGTGAAGATTTATATTCATTTTTATTTTACTTATACCCAAAAGCTGTTTCCAAAAAAAAAAAAAAAAAAAAAAAAAAAATGGAACAATAAAACTATTGTAAACATAAAGCTTTAGAACAGGTAACGCTTTTTGCACCGCAACCCTACAGTCTTCCCATTCTCGTCTGTCTGTCAGCCAAGCCTATCTCCATTTATTCATACGACAGACAGTGGTCTATATGTCTGAAATAAAAACTTACAAGAACAACCAGGAAGAGATCCCTGGTTGGTTGCATGCGTTTATCGTCTAAGTTACTGAAAGTAGGGGAACAAACACTAATGGCAATTGTACATCTTTGAATGAGATAGTGACAGGTGGAAATACAACTCATTATTTATGGCAAGGGGGAAAGGCAGCAATATACACATTTACTGAGGGAGAGTTTCTAATACGTCATCGATATGCTGCACATTCTGACTTGCTTGTTAGGGTAAATCCAAAGAAAACTTTTGACAAAAATTTTTTTTTTTATGCTATCTGTGGCCCGTCTGCAATGTTCTTTAGAGCCTAAAAGGTATCTACTTGCAAAGACCAACCCTACTCTTTTATTGATTGGCTGATGTCACGGCTTTGCCAGGTCGGTTTATTACCTTAAATTGAAAATGTAAATGGAAAACCTACTAAATCAACTGGATATGTTTTCCCCCATTTTCCAGTTGTCAGGAAAATGTTACAGCTTAAACTTAAAGCCATGAGCCCCATCTGTCTCTAATCATCATGCATCTCACTCTCACAAATAGCAAAAATGGTTTTGTTCAGCGTTCTCTGTAAATTGCCTTGAGATGATGTGTTGTGAATTGGTGCGTTACAAATGAAGTAAACTGTATTAAAAATTGAATCACTGGCTATGTGGTGTTCATTTCAGCAGTTTTCTGCACAATCCTGTGTTTCTTTCAGTGTTCGTGTGGCAGTGATACGACGTCCAACTTGCCCAGCTTCCAGTGGTGTTGCTCCTCCATTATAGACGCATATTATTTCCTCATTTTTAATTAAAAAATTACCATGTTTTTCTTTGGGCAGACACAATCGTAGAGACTGATAACTGTACTCAATGTTCTTTGCAAGGCTGGGTGCATGTCATCCAAGATTCTGTTTAATGACAAACGTTCTCAACCTAACCTCTAATGTCTAGGATTAAATTACAAACAGGTAGACAAAGCGCAACTGTCAATCACTTTCTTGTTACATTTCATTTATTTTAGGGGTGTTAGAGTAAATGGAGCTGACCACCAACTCCAAAAGTAGTTTTCTAGCTTTAATTGAATTTAAAATGCTAAGAAGTAAAAATGTCTAAAAACCTTTAAATCACAAAAGGACCCGGGTTGTAACATAACCAAAAGATTTTTAAAAACTGCATAAATAGATGTATGTTATACCTTCCACTGCTTATGGTACCTATGGTAGGTTATTACTATGACTTAAATTTTATTGCAAAATAAAAAATTAAAGATGAGGTACGTCAATAAAATAATCTGGAAAAAGCACTTTTCTACTTTGTGACCAGAAAAATATTTCCCTTTCAAATGAAGTCATAAAGATTTGTAGAAGCAAATCCTATGACGCAATGGAGCTCATTAAACATGAGATGCCTGGAGATATAAGACAGAGGCACATGTGGGTGGGTCTGAACTTTGACCTGAGCAAACAGCCTGACACTGACGAAGAAAGCGTTGCCTTGAGTTCTGCTTAATTAGAATATTCCCATTCAAAGGTTATCTCAAGGCAGATGAATGTGTGTGTGTTACCTCCAGATGACGCGCTGTGGTAGCCTTGCTAAAGCTCCTGCAAGTTTGTGAGCAATGTCATGGGAGAGGTACTTCACTCCAGCACCAAACGACACAACCACAAAGCCATGCTCTGCTGTGTCATTCACCAAGTCCTGAAAATGCTAAAGGAACAGAGAGAGAAAAACCAGTAAGCTACAGATCCAGAGCAGTAAGCTGATGTTTCACCTAAACTTGGTTTCTAAGCTCTTCACAAAAAACCCAGGAACCCAAACTATTAATGTGTTGAAATTGAACACCTTAGATCGTTTAAGGTTTACTGATAAAGGTTTTTCATGTAGTTGAAAGGAAAATTTTACTATGGGATCAATAAAGTGACAGTTATTGTTATATTTGAAATTATCTAAAAAAGATTTGGGCATTCTTTTGAAATGGTTTCAGTTAGTGAGGATATATAAAATGGGAAACTTATTTCACAATTATCATCTTTGGAAAATTATACCTTAAAAAAATATTTCTCAATAGCCTTAAAGAGAATACAGCAATATAAAAGCCTTAAGAAGTAATGAAAGAAATACTGGAATACACCAGCACATTTTTTATTTTAGTCCATTGTTTGTGCAAACAAACCAAACAATACTAAAAAGGAATGTTTTTTATTTAAAGCATGGCTTAAAAAATTACTTTGATTTCATATGCAATAAATATAATATTGGACTGTTTGTGAGGAATAGACAAAGTTAAATATTATGTTAAATGGATGAGTTGAATGGCAAAATATATCAAATCATAGCCTTTATTGCAGTTTAAAGTAAGCATAATTCAACTACAAAATATGGAATATTTGACAGGCTGTAATGTATTATGTAAAATGCATTTATACACTTTAGACTAGATATAAACCAAGACAAGTTTTGTAAGGCCAGTTTTGTAAAGCCTACTTATTTTTCGACATCAGTCTAACAAATCCCTGATAACTGCTAACTTTGTGGGCCGATGTTTTAATCTAATATTCCTTTCCCCCCTGTATTTAGGACCCAATGATAGCTGTTACACAACTCACAATTCAAACAAAAAAATAAAAATGCATTAACCAATACTGCATAAAAATGAGGGAGAACAAATGAAGGTAAAGTAATCTTAAGGCATGGCTGCAGAATGCATTAATGAACCAGTGAACACATGCATCAGCCAATGATGAAACAAGGATATTAATATCTCAAAATATATCAGCTGGCTGATGTGTTGCTCTAACAACACTGTTCTTCAATTCCAGTCCTTAACCCTATAATGCCAAATGTATCGTGTTTGATACAAATGGTTTCTGAAATGTTTTGCGTCTGACACCTTTTGCATAATTTAATGGTAAAAACTTTGCTCAAAATCCTATTGTACACAATCAGATATACCTGATAACAGCCAGTAGAAGACTACACAAAAAATAATCTTGACTTATCGCATAGTAATAAATTATTAATATCAAAAATTTATTTCTATTTTTCTTTTTACATATTTTGTTAAAAGGGCAAATAAGGAATTCAAACAAAAAAAAAGTAATTTTCTGTTTTGTTTTATTCTTGGATCAGGCTTTACAGGGTTAAAGTCCAGTGTTAGCAGGACTCCAGAGAAATTGACTGTGTTTGAACATCTGCCCTAATCACTATATAGGGCCCTATATAGTGGTTACGTCATTTTAAACAAGTGTCTGAACATGTAGTGGATGCCAAAGTAGTGGACTCAAAATTTCCCACAATGTAGGGTGACCATATTTTCATTTGGGAAAACCAGGACACCTTGGAGCATGGGGGCGGCGGCGGGGGGGAACTCTGTTTGCATGCATAGAGATGTCTGTGGCATGCACTCACTTAACATAGGCCTACGTAATCCTACAATAACATGATATTTACAGTTGGTTTATTAAAAATGTTTTTCAGTAAAAGTCAACAGCAATAACTCCAATAACAAATGATCATTTTATTCAAAATGTATTTATTAAAAAAATGCTTAACAATTCCTGTAATGAATGAATAGCACAATGAAAGAAACAAAGTCTCATCTAAACATCTTTCACTTAACATTAAAAGTTAACAATAACTCAACTCCCAATAACAGATGATACTCAGCCTCAGTAATGAACGGAATAATGTATGTTCTGTAGGCTATTGGAAAAAAAAAAAATAACAAATGAGTTAATTAACAAAAATTACCTCTTGTGTAGCAAAAAGAACTCAAAATGTACCAAAAACAAACAAACATATCAATAGACTATCTTTACTTTCGGAGTCCAGGTGGCTTTTCAGATCCCTTGCACCTCCATTGGACACCGAGACATATGTGCATACTGACGGCCACGCTATCTATCTTCTGATTAAGAACAGGGCTGCCCGCACTGACGCTGCTCAGGGATTATGACACACAGACCTCTCCATGCAAAGCATCATTAGATTTGTTGTGCCAGCGGCCCACTGTTGTTTAGAGCATGGCATGTGCACAGTGCGGGAAGGCAGAGTTGCATGACCAAAGGGGACAAAAAGTAGTGATCATCTGTCTGAACGGTCAGTTAATCGAGTTCACTATAAGGTCCACTAAATATTCCCCGCTCTATATATTGATTGAGGGATTTAGGGCCATTGCATGCTGAGGAATTAATCCATTCATTTGATTCAGGTGTGTAGAAGCAGAGATAGGGTTGCGCAACAAATCAGATTCATTGGTTATTTCATGTTTTTAAAAGTCCACGATTTGAAATTTTGCTAAATCATATAATCAAGGAAGTCTCTTACTGCATTTTTTATTTGTGCATATGCTTCCTTCTAGTGTAGCCGTTCTTATAGGGATGGACATGGTGTCCATTTACATATTAGAGAATATATTTTTGAATAAAGTAAATTTTAAAATACATGGATGTAGTTTTTAAACACTTCAATTAAAATCTATTAAAATTGGAATCGTCCAAGATGAGTAAAAAAATAAAAATACGATTTTATTTTTATGCCATATCGACCAGCCCTTAGCAGAGACACATCTGAAAGACTTAGGACACCAGACCTTAAGCTCTAAGATTGTAGACCCCTGCTTTAGACCAATAATGTATTTGAATAGCTGCAGGGACACCGAGAACATCCCAAGAACATAAATCTTGTCAGACGAGGTTTTGGTGTATTGCGCTAATTAGAAGTCAATGAGGATAATCACAGCCAACACAATTTTAAGCAAGGGGGCAGCGTTGGTCCAACTGAGATAGACCCCAGGTCTATTTTACTCGTACTACGCAGCAATTTAGCAGCATACTCATCGGTCTGTGTAAAATGCATCTGCTTTTGGGGAAAATACAAAAATAAAATCTGTTAATCGCAAGAGGAAAGAGTCAGTTTAGCAGTCAGACATCGCATATACAGTACAGTAAATGACAGACTAGTGCAAAAAAATAAAATAAAAACAAAAGAATAGAATACTTTACCCACGATAGGAGTTCTGGAGAACAGAAAAAGCAAAAGCAAGGCAGTTTATCAAGGAGGAGAAAACCAGATATAGTAAAATATCGATCCTCTTTGAGCCTCACAAAAAACAAAATAACGAGGGGCCGACAGAGCAGGCAAGCACAGGGTATATCTCTCACCTCTTTATGTAAAAACAGAAGCAAAAACTTCAATAAACTTCCCAGATTTATTTTTGACAATCACTTCTCTGCCTCAGTCAGCATATAAACCGTCCCACGGTGTTTATTGCTGCGATTCCTTTTCTTTATATGTAGATCTCATAATGTTTTAATATAGACATATAAAAATTATCTTTTTAAGTGGGGCTTTGCTATATAGAATGCACCTTTTTTTATTTATTTTTTTTTATATAACTTTTCATTATCCGTCCAGGTCAAATGTGGGAAACTGTTTCAATTTATGTATTGCACAGAGACATAAGTAAAAAAAAATCTGCGCAGATCTGCAGACCCTGCCTAGTCAGAGCCTCTCTATACGTAGTCATTGGGATATGGGAATATAAAATGGGTCGGAGATTTAAAGCCTCAAGCAACCAATGTGTTCAGGCCTTTAGCCACACAGATCCTTCATTTCACTGACAGAAATAAAGAAGCAATGACAATGAGAAAGAGCAAATTTAGGAAATATTTACGTTATACCCAGTACATGCAAATATTTTCAAATACCCAGGATATATTTATTTATTTATCAAAAATAAAAAATATCGCAACTTAATGTTTTTACTAATTTGAGGAAGCCTAGTCCACAATAAATGGGGAAATAACATAATCCATGCTATTTTATCTAATATTTGATCAGTAGTTCTGAAACAGTGGGAGCAATGAATGACAAAACGTACATTTTTCAAGGAAGCGGGTTTAGAAATCGTAATCTTACCATTTTTTTTTTTTTTACAGATTTTTTCTTTTCTTCACAATTAATCTTTATAATAATTTCAAAAAGGCTTTACTGCTTGCTCATCTGATGACATTAAATCAACCTAAACAATTATTCTTTATTTTTATAACAAAAAATGGCATTATGTTATTTGAAGAACAGTCTAAAGTCACTGCTATTAATTTGAAATTAAATATAAGGAAAAGAGTCTTGAAAAATTTCCTGGAAATGTCCATTACAATGTCCCAAATTACTCAAAGATGTAAAGAAAACAAAAGCAGAACCCTCCTGAGAGTAACTAGTGTTATATAAGTAAGATCCAATTTCCACAGTGGAATAACAATTTTCATTATTGATTGAATTTGAAAAAAAATGAATTACTACCAGCAGAAAGTCATTCTGGGAAGATCAAAATAGTAACTGTACCTGTTACGTAAAATTAAAGTTAACATAACACAGGCATTCATTTCACATATTAACTTTCTAAATAGAAAAACGATAAAGAGGAGCTCAAGAAAATTGCAAATATTTTGCATTTATAATCAGCAGAATTATCGGCATTGTTAAATGTCTGTTTCTATGAGATTAAGACTATTTTATAAAGTAAAATATATCGCAGTCCCATCCACATTGGTTATAACTTGACCATTTTCAATCAGCAGAACGTCTGACCTTTTATTTAGCAATGTCACTTTCTGTTTCTTTGAGGTTTAATTATGGGGTCACAGAGGCCCTTCATTCAGCCAATCTGCAAAACGGGAAAGACAAGGGAGCATGCCATTCAAGAA